TTTAGAGAAATTAGGCTTTCTCAACCAAGAACTCGAAAGAACTGTGGGTCTCTGTTAAAGAAATTACAAATCTGAACTCCGGCAAGAGGGAGATGCATGTTCTGGATGAGCTTAATAAAGCAAATTAACTTAACAACTTCTTCAAACGTTTTGATATTAATTCTGCTTCTAACATTGATGCATGTAATAACTTGTCAACCTCTTTAACCTGTGACCCAATACACAATAGAAGAATAATAATTGATGATAGTGCTGTGGCCAGGGTTTTCAAACAACTGCATACTCAGAAGGCCAGTGGGCCAGACGGTATTTCGGCACTTGTTAGAAATTAAAATCAATGTTTTGATGGTATAATGTAGCTTAAACATACCGTCAGTTTAAATGGTGCACAACCAGTTAAGCTTTTATTCTGAAAATCCTTCAGCTCCGGTTAGCATTTAGCATGTAGCTAATATACCATTTCCTATAGAGGTGAATTTAGTAGCGAAATGACATGGAGTGATGTACACCGAAACCTACTGATTCTAACACTACAACTATAGACGTAGAGATATTATTATTGCTGAATATTAAATGAAGGTACAGTTTATATTTGAATAAAGTTATTGTTTTCAGACGTGGGTAGCATGTTAAAACATCCGGAACGACCGGAAACCAAACCAGCCATGAAGTATTTTCTGTATTTTTTAGAGTATTGATTACAGCGTTTAGAATGTGTTAAATGAAAAGTGATGAAAGACAATAGGAGGAGAAGAGGCGTGTTAAGCATATATTGAATGTGAAAAGTACCAATCCTCTGTTTAATGCAACAACCGACATTAGAGACGAGGCGAGCCGGCTCCCAGGGAGGAGCCAGCAAAAGATAACAGCTGGAGAGGAGGGGTTCGCTCTCTCTTCTTCGCTCACGAGGACCAGATCACAGCTGTTTTTCTGACTGAACAATATCCTGCTTGTAACATACCCGCGCCTTTTTTAATTAAAGTACCCAATTGAACCTTCTCAGAGACTCCATTTAGTCTCCTTTTTAAAGCTTCTCTCCTGGACGCGAGAATAACGATCACAGTTTACACACTCCTGCTGAAAACGTTTGCAGATGAGCTCACCCCTGCCTGGAGTCCATTATTCCAGCTCTCTGCTGACACGGGAAGCATCCCTCAAATATGGAAGAAAGCTGTCATCATACAAGTTGCAAAAAAAAACATGCCCACATGATACCAACGACTTCAGACCAGTGGCTTTGACCTCAATAGTTATGAAGTCACTAGAACGGATTATTGTAGGGAACTTGCAAACTGAGGTGCAACACCTCTTGGACCCCTACCAGTTTGCGTACAGCGATGGTAGAGGTACAGATGATGCTCTGACCTCTACAACTCACTTTATTTTAAAACACCTGGAAAATCCTTTAGCTTATGCTAGATTAATGTTCATGGGTTTAGCTCAGCTTGTAATACTATTCTTCCCCAAATTATGTTAAAAAAGCTCAAACAGATGGATGTGAACCCTTACCTAATCAGATGGTATCACTCCTTCCTATAACTGAAAGACAGCATCAGGTGAAAGTAAACTTGACCCTCTCTGACACAGGTCATAAGCACAGGGGCACCACAAGGCTGCGTTAGCTCTCCTCTTCTCTTCAGCACACACACAACCACATTATAAAGTTTTCTGATGACACAGCCATACTTAGTCTACTGACTAGAGATTCAGACATTTATAAACTTGAGATTGAAGGGGTCGTTAAGTGGTGTGAGGCGCACAACCTGGTGTTAAATGTTAAAAAAACAAAGTAAATGATCTTTGACCCCAAGTCAGTAGGTGATCAGAGCCCCGTCCTTATCAACAGGGAGGGAGTTGAGCAGGTTACACGCTTTAAATATTTGGGGATTTATTTTGATGCTCAGTTAGGCTGGGCCCATCAGGTGGATCAGGTATGCTCAAAGATAAGCCAGCGCCTGCATTTTCTGCGTAGGCTCAGGGTTCATGGAGTGGATACATGTATCATGTTAATGTTCTACAGGGCAGCAATTTAGTCTATTATTCGTTATGGCATCACAACAGGGTTTGGTAACTTGTCAGTTAAATCTAAATCACAACTCCAGAGCTTGATAAAAAGGGCTGGAAAGATAATTGGCATGCTTCCACCATCCTCTCTTCAGGAGATATTTGAGGAGATGGTGAGAAAGCAAGGCCGTATAATCACATGCGATCCCAAACACATCCTGTTTAGAGAGTTTGAGTTGCTGCCCGGCAGAAGGTATAGATTACCAAACTGTAAATTGAACAGGTATAAGTTTTCCTTTGTTCCACTGTCAATCAAGCTGCTGAACAGTCAGAAACAATTGTGATTATGCTGTGTTAGGAGTTGTTGGGAGGTGCAATGTTTACAGTGTAGTATGTGCAATCGAGAAGGTTAAATAGGGAAAGCGCAATATGTGTAAATAGGTATGGATACAATAGGGATATGTGCAATTTGACGGACACTATGCATAGGTGCAATAGGGAAAGTGCACTTCTTGATTTGTGTATGAATGCAGTAGGGAAACTGCAATCTTTGATTTATGTATGTGCAATAGGGAAAGTTCTGTTCCTGTATGTTTCTTGTTTGTTTCTTTGTCATGTGATATGTGATCTCTGTTCTCTATCTACGACTGATTGTCCCAAATGTTTTATGTTTATTATCTCGATGCCCAAGACAAATGTCTCCTAAGGGACACGATAAAGCTCTATCTATCTATCTTTAGTTTTGTACTGCTGCTTTAAGGTCAATGACAACGTTTGTTTTGTATTTCTAGATTAATAGGAGCATCTATTCCTTATCGCATAACAGTACAATATGCATCTATTATCAAACTAGGGTTGCTTGACTTGGCTGTGTTTATTCATGCAAAGTAGAATATGAGAATACTTTATTCAGTGCGATATATTCATTTGCTGTGTACTCCCGAATCCAGGGGCAGATAAATGACTAATTGTTGGGAAGTGTTCATCTTACACCATTCTATTGTTACTCTGAACAATTAGCTTCTTACTCATTAATGCAAGCAATGCCTTATTCCCCAATATATTTGTGGAAATAAGGAAATGTTTTAGTAATGCCCACTAGGTGGCAGTAGTAGACCAGGCAGTACAACCTGGGACAGCTCCCACCCCTCTGGATGCTCTGCAGCCGCATTAAACCACAGGGAAGCATTGCAGATGTCTCACTTTAAAATCTGCTGTGATAGCCTGCTGCACTTTGATTGTATCCTATAAAGCCCTCTAAATATTTTAGTTGCATACTTTTATTATGGGCTGATGTGTAATAAAAATCTGTCATACACAGTGCATTTTGACCACTCTCTCTTTCTCTCTCTCTCCCCGTGCGCCCTCTCCCAGGAGGTAGATTTGATCAGAGAGCAGGTGCAGCAGCTCATCTCTCTGCCTATGTGGATGGGCCTCCTACCAGTAAGATATCCACCTATTACCCTAATTAAGTTTATCTGGTGGTCATTGGCACACACACAGTAATAATGTTTGATATTCATCATAGGAAACAATAACCTGCTTGTTATGATACTCAACGTTTGAAACAATGATCTGTTTGCAGTCCAGACTCCAACACGAGCTTAAGAAAGTCCCAAAGCTGCAGAAATTCTGGAATCTAATCAAGAAGAAATCTGATAAGATGGAGGCTGACGAAGCTGAACAGTAATAACATTTTCTTTTGCTTGTGTGTTGAGATCTATACACACTAGGAAATAGTGTTTGGTATCCTAGGAGTTGCTAAGCTTTTTTCTAATTTGCTTTCTGTGTGTCCTCCTCAGGGCACAGAAAGAGAGGGCATTCCTCTCAGCTCTCATTAAAAAGTTTCTTGGAGTTCTCGTGTCCATCCCACCATCAGGTAAACAATATAATTATGTTTATTTCCCTAGGAGTTCATAGTGTTATTGTGTACTTCTAATTCTAACGTGAAGTGTATTCATGAAGACGAATGACCATTAGATATTGGTCCTTTTTTTACTTATTTTGAAAAATGGTGCATTTAAGGTTTTGGATTTCTAGCTAAAAATAAGTGTTTACATTTGATGAGTTTACAAATGATACTGGGTATCTTTGTTCCCAAAGCAGATTTCAGCATGAGTTCTCTCCACCTTTCCCGGCATAATTAGTGTACTAAGGATTTTCTATAGATTGCAGTGTCAGAAGATCATCTCTGGCCCAGGGCCATACTGCCAGTTTAATCCACAATATTACCCTTTCTTTCACTATTCCTAGTTGCACTACTTCGTCCTTTTACTTTCTGAGTCGTGCATCCACCGAAGGAGCATGTGCTCCAGCTGCCATACAGCCACTGGCACCGACTTCTACGTTGTAATGCAGGCCGACACAGAGGCCCCCCACCTGAATGCTAAAAACAGAACGTGTATTTGTGGGTTTAGGTAGAATTCAAACCTGACAGGGTAGATTACAGTCCAAAGCCCAGCAGGATCCACATCACTCTAATGCATGCTGCATGCCTCAACTCTAAGTACACACACACACACACACACACACACACACACACACACACACACACACACACACACACACACACACACCATATGCTTAATGAGGGCTGAGGTCCCAGCATGC